AGAGAGAGAGAGAGAGAGAGAGAAACAGAGAGACAAAGACAGAGGTATAGAGAGACAGAGAGACAGAGAGAGAAACAGAGACAGAGAGAGAGAGAGAGACAGAGAGAGACAGAGAGAGACAGAGAGAAACAGAGACAGAGAGAGAGTCAGAGAGAGACACAGAGAGAGACAAAGAGACAGAGAGAGAAACAGAGACACACACAGAGAGAGACAGAGACAGAGATAGAGAGAGACACAGAGAGTTGTCATAGCTTCTGATGTAGAAAGTGATGGGCACTTGGATATGTAGAATGGAACTCATCTTGGTGGTCCTCTCAGGTGAATGACAGCAGATTCTCCGTTGTTTCTGTAGACAAGTGTTTCTCCACCTCTTCAACTTTAAGATGGGTGGACTTCAACTCCCAGTACTCTACTGAAATATTTTCATTTTCAAAGCACTCCCTGAACTCCGCAACCCAATATTTTAATTTTCAGAATACTAATAGATGTGCCTCTTTCCCCCCACCAGCTCTGTCAGTACCATCCGCAATCAGCGTTATCACATCCACGCCAATCTTTCCTTTGCTGTCTTGGTGGCTCAGATCTTGCTCCTTATCAGCTTCCAGTTTGACCCTGGGACGGTGAGTGAAACGGATATTCTTCTGATTTGGCCTTCAATGGAAGAGAAGAACAGAATATTGGAAGGGCCTTGGAGGACTTCTAGTCTAACCCCCTGCTCGAGCAGGAGATTTTTCTACCATTCCAGACAAGTGGCTGTCCAGTCTCTTCTTAAAAACTTCCAGTGATGGAGCACTCACAAGTTATCATAATTTATATTAATTTATCCAGCTAATTGTAGAACATAGAATAACAGAGTTGGAAGAGACTTGGAGGTCTTCTAGTCCAACCCCCTGCATAGGCAGAAAACCCTATACCACTTCAGACAAATGATGATCCAATCTCTTCTTAAAAACTTCCAGTGTTGGAGCATTCACAACTTCTGGAAGCAATTTGTTCAACTGATTAATTGTTCTCACTGTCAGGAAATTCCTCCTTAGTTCTAAGTTGCTTCTCCCCTTGATTAGTTTCCATCCATTACTTCTAGTTCTCCCTTCAGATGTTTTGGAAAATAGGTCGATGGCACTACGCCCCACTGATATGCAGAGCATGAGTGTTTTGTGAATGTAGCAATGGTGTTTTTAGAATAGAATAGGAGAGGAGAGGAGAAGAGAAGAGAAGAGAAAATAGAAGAATAGAACAGAAGAGAATAGAATAGAAGAGTTGGAAAGGATCTTGAAGGTCTTCTAAACCAACTATCTGCTTAGGCAGGACATCTTATACCATCCCAGCCAAATGGTTGTCCAATCTCTTCTTAAAAACTTCCAGTGTGGAGTATTTGCAACTTCTGGAGGCAAGTTGTTCCACTGGTTGATTGTTCTCACTGTTAGGAAATTTCTCCTTAATTCCAGGTTGTTTTTCTCTTTGATTAGTTGCCATTCATTGTTCCTTGTCTGGCCTTCTGCTGTTTGGAGAATAGCTTGACTCCCTCTATTTTTGTGGCAGCCCCTCAAATATGGGAAGACTGCTATCATGTCACCCCTAGTCCTTCTTTTCACAGGAGAACAGCACACAGCTCGGCTGAGAAATGTCTCAGGGCCTAGCCAAATATTTATCTCTTCCACCCATTTTTTTTTCCTAAACTGAGCATTCCTGCATTGCCACCCAATTCTGCACTCCTTACTCTTTGGAAATATAGGCCCCCGGCCTTTCGAAGCAAACCCTCCTTTATTTTTAGACAATTTGTCACCGCGTTATTAAATGGCAGCCACCGTGCTGACAGGCATATAATCCCGGTGGCATTTAAATAAGGAGGTTATTCGTTTCACATTTGTTCGACAGTCATTGGCACATGGTAAATGTGACAAATGTTTGTGTTTTCCCTTTGATTTCCATTGAAAAATAAAGGCAGGGATTAATCATGGCACAGCGGTCGTTGTTTAACTCGATAATTGATACTATTAATAACCGTAATGATAATCGTGTGTTTTCATCAGAAATTGTCCTGGCATTTGGTCAAATGTGGACTCCCTTTATTTCCCTGGGAGGGAGGGGGGAAAAAACCAGCACAGCAAAGAGACAATAAAACATGAAGAAGAAATTGTATTGGGGATATTATTTTTTTTAACATTTCCTGGGGTTTTCCCTTGCATATGTGTGAACGTTGACAAAACAGGCTCAAACTCCCACTTACAAAACACAAAACCGACTTCATTCATCCAACCTAACATTCTATCTGGTTCCAGTTTATTGGAATGGAGCTGACAGTTTGGAACGTTCTTCTTTTTTTCCCCCTGGCCCTAGGGGGGAAAAATAGATAAAGTAATAATAGCAGCAAAATTTTCTCTATCCGTCATTTGAGAGGAGGGCGTAGAGAGGTTGCCATTTTTTCCCCCTGCGGTGCTCTGAAATTGTTATTATTATTATGGGGTGCTGTTGTGCATTTTGCCAGTTAAGGGCGGGGGAAGCAAGTTAGAAATAAATGGCTTGTATTCAGCGAATTATTAATCCATGTTTCTTTCACAATGGGGATCCCGGATGTGTATAGAATAAATAACAGAGTTGGAAGGGATCTTGGAAGTCTTGAGGTCCAAACTTCTGCTGGAGCAGGAAACCTGATAGCCAGGGGTGGGTTTCTACCGGTTCTGTCCAGTAGTAGAACCAGTAGCTCTGAAGAGCAGCAGACATAGAACCGGTTCTATGTCTGCTGATGTTTTTGCCCACCCGGGCTCTTACCTGATCTTTATTTCCTGATTTTTCAACTTCAGCTGCCGAACGAGGCACAGCTGCAGTTAAAAAAGCAGGAAAAGAGGGCTGTTTCAAAGGCTGCTTCTCTGCATGCAGCCTGCTGATGACGATTTACAGGCACGCAGCTCCCAGCGTGCAGGGAAGCTCGTAAATCCCGAACCGGTAGTTAACTCTGTTGTATCCCACCCCTGCCTATAGCATTTCAGACAAATAGCTGTCCACTTTTTTCTTAAAAACTTCCAGTCTTGGAGCATCCACAACTTCTGGAGGCAAGCTGTTCCACTGGTTAATTGTCCTCACATTTAGGAAATTTCTCCTGAATTCCAGGTTGCTTCTCTCCTTGATTAGTTTCCATCCGTTGCTTCTTGTCTTGCCTTCTAGTGATTTGGAAAATAAATTGACCCCCTCTTCTTTGTGGCAGCCCCTCAAATACTGGAATATTGCCACCATGTCTTCCATATTCCTTGTTTTCTCTAGACTGGCCATACTCAATTCCTGCAAATGTTCTTCATATGTTTTTGTCTCCAGGCCCTTAATCATCTTAGTTGTTCTTTCCCCCAGCCTTACATTTGTGTTGTTCCATTTTGATATATAGTTTGGAAGTGTTTTGCATAAAAAGAAAAATCTCTGTGAGGTTGATCGTAGTTGTCTTTTGTTTAGATTGTTCAATTTTATTGCAATTGTATGCATCCTTCCTTACTTTTTTTTATGGTTCTGGAGAATTACCCATGATCTGTGATTTACCCTATGATCTGCCAACCAAATTGAACCTCACCCTCAACTCAATTACTTCCATTGTCCTATCTAGTTTCTGGATATCTTCCTTCAGTTCTAACAAGTTAAATGCATGGATTGAGATAGTGGCTACTTTAACTTAACCCTGGAACTTCCTGTAAATGGTTTAGATGAGGAGAGGAGAAATATATGAACCTCTAGATATTGTTTGGCTACCAAATCTCCTACTAATCATGTTGCCATGGATAGCTTGAGGTTCAGCAACATCTGGGGGATTTTAATTTCCAAACTCTTGATCTAGACTAGCCTTTCTCAACCCAAGTGAATACAAGGAAACACCCAAGTCTACATGAGAGATGAATACCCAAGCCTACATGAGAAATCCATACCGCTGGAATCTTATTCCTATAGATAGATGGGCATCTTCTACGGTTTAGATCAGTTATCTCTTGATTTAGGACTGATGTGAATAGACCTCAGAAGGACCATCTCATTGTCCCTGTCTGGAAGTTGGTTGATCAAATAACATCTTCACAATTACAGATAGACTATAGCTCCAGAAAGCCTGGAGCAGATGGTAGGATTTAGTTAACCTTGGTTGATCTCCCAAAATGTCATCAAAAAATCCCAGCGGCGTAGGCTAGACAAAGAAGTAAAAAAAATATCCTTAGGATGAGAGAATGTCAAAAAAAACATCCATCTGGATATGTCCATGAAGTCTGGAGGAATTATTCCTTAAGAGAAAATTAAAAAAAATATCTAGACAACAAGGAAGAAGGTGTGGGAGCGGAACTCCCTTGAAACTTCTCTCTAAGGCACCAAGGATCCAGTTATGGAGAAGGGAAGAGGTATTCTCATCTTGGCAAGGCAACAAGGTGGCACTTCAGCGAATGTTGCCTAGGTAAGCTGAGTCACACGGTTGCTAAGCAACCTGACAATGTTTGTCTACCTTGCAGCATCGTGTCAAAAGCTTAGTTCAGCTCTTCCAAAGAAGAGAAGGAAGCACATGTTGTGACAGGTGGCAGTAGAGATGTTGACCTACAAAAGGTTGGAGGGGGAAATGATTACCAAAAAAACAACAACACAACAGATTGTGTGAAATCTCTCCATATCTGGATTCCAGTCGATGGGAAAGAAAGAGATGACATGTTAAGGCCAGGATGACAGTAGGGTTAGGGCAAAAAAGTCAGATAGAAGGAAATGGCATTAAATGTGGCCGATTATGCAACTTCTCTGGATTACTCTCGTGGCTCATAAATCTAATTTTCTGTCCACCTCTCCTTCTCCTTTTGATGGTCTCAGTTTTCTTCTGATCAGGGGCAACTCCTGACAGCTAGAATGATTAATCAGTGGAATGACGTGTTGTGGGTGCTGCCACATTGGAGGTTTTCAAGAAGAGATTGGACAAGCGTTCATCTGAAATGATACAGGGTCTCCTGCTTGAGCAGGGGGTTGGACTAGAAGACCTCCAAGGTCCCTTCCAACTCTGTTACTCTACTATTCTCCTTGAGAGAGCAGAAGCAGGATTCATGTTGCAAGGTTGCAACGTAGGAGGGAAAAACAGACTCCTCATATTCCCTATATGTCTTCTTCTCGTTGCCCAGTGTGGTGTTTTTCAACCTTGGCAACTTTTAAGATCTGTGGATTTCACTTTGTAGAATTCGCCAGCCAGCCCTGATTATCTTAAAGTTGCCAAGATTGAGAAACACTGGTCTAGTGGGTCACTTTTAACACAACCTCGTAGTGTTCTGACCCAGCTCCCAAACACAACAAACCCTCTGTAGTTAAATCAATGATTCCTTTATTAGGAGCAATAGCAGCCCGGCAAAAAGTTTCTCTCTCTCACTCACACACAGCAGGCTAACAAGTCTGTCCAGCAGGGAGATGAACAGTTGTCTTCCACATCTATTCATTTCCACCCCCTGCCTTTTATCCCCAGAGCTAGGGTGAGGCCTCACTAGCAGCAGTGGCTCTTTCGTCCCAAGGACCGGCCCATAGATTTCCATTGCTCTCCTCTCTTCTGCCTTCTGCGCATCCGTGCGTCAGGCACTGGAACCAGCTGTTCTTCCTCTTCCTCATCAGCCACCTCCAGACCTGGGGGCTATTGACTCTCCATCTGACGGCTGACGGATGGCCCAGGCTCCCTCCCTCCCTCTCTCTCTCTCTCTCCCCTCCCTCCCTCCCTCCCTCCTCCCCACTCTCTGCCAGCTCCATTCCCTCTTCCCCCTCAGAGCTCCCAGGTTGCCCTGATGCTGGCCCCCAACTCCCACCCCTCCTCCTCCTTCTCTGATTCACTGCTGGGGGTGGAGTGGCCACAACACTTCCCAAAAAGATTCAACCAACAAGAAGGAACGGAGTGCTTTAGAAGTCCACTATGTCTTATTGATGCAAATCTTGTTGGACAAGATATTTGGCGAGCTCTTAAAATCTCCCTCCTCTTAATACAATTTGAATCTGACTTTCCGTGGAAGGAATCCATTTCTTGATTTCATAACCATGAAACTTACTTTCCAGGGAATTTACATATTTATGAATTTAATCCATTCACGTGGCCCTCTGTCTGGTCGATATGACTCTAGGCGACTAACTCTTAAAGATGAAATAAAAACAGGTTAAGAACAACCAATACTTAAAAAAACCCCAATGTGAATAGCATAAAATAGCAGCTGAGAACATTCAAAGACAGCATGAAATGGGCTACACTCATAATTGTAGGGCCCCAGGCTTGAGGACAAAGCCAGGATGTTTAATATCCCGAGAAAGGCCAGCAGGATTGGGGCTAATCTGATGTAAATTCTCAACTGTCCAGGCCATGGGTACTTTTTCAAAAGGCAACTGGGCTTTGTTTTTGTTTTTTCTTTGAAGATGTTTCACTTCTCATCCAAGAAGCTTTTTTAGTTCTGACTGAAGTCAAAGTCAGAAGCCTGAAATCATAAGTCAGAACTGAAGAAGCTTCTTGGATGAGAAGTGAAACATCTTCAAGAAAAACAAAAAACAAAGTCCAGTTGCCTTTTGAAAAAGCAACTTTGGGGTGGCCGTTCTGATGATGATGATGATGTGTGTGTGTTTGTGTGTGTGTAAATGTATGTGTGTGTGTGAGAGAGAGAGACAGAGACAGACAAAGAGACAGAAAGAGAAAGAGGGAAAGAGAAAGAAAGAACAAAGAAAGAAAAAATGAAAGAAAGAAAAAAAGAGAGCGAGAAGAAAAGAGAAAAGGGGAGATCAGGAGACAACAAAAAGGAAAAGAGAAAAAGAAAGAGAGAGAGAGAGACCTATTGATAAAAAATATTGCTCTAGTAACAGCTGATTAAATGAGCTGGTTTCTTACAAATCCTCAGATCTTGGCAAGAGACTGTGATAGTAAAAATAAGGTATCTGTATCATCTTAGGCACCACAATATTGCACCTCTTATTGAGTTCAGTAGGTGCAGCCCATTTTGGATGCCAAATCAAGACTTCTCCTCCTCACCTTTCCTGTTCATTTGGCTGATTTGTCTTCTTTGCAGGTGCCTTGCAAAACCCTGGCCATTCTCCTTCACTTCTTCTTCTTGAGCACCTTTGCTTGGATGCTGGTGGAAGGGATCCACCTCTACAGTATGGTGATCAAAGTCTTTGGATCGGAACAGATCAAGCTCTTATACTACTATGGCATTGGATGGGGTAAGTCAGGTCTTGTTTTACCCTTAAAAGGAAATAAAAAAGACAATAGATAACTTCACGGGTGTAGAAGCTTCCTGCAAGCCAACCGTCATGTCTTTTTAGCAGCAACGCACCATTGACTGCTGAATATCGCAGTGCCCTGGGTTGTGGTCTCCCACAAAATGTCTTGTGACTCCTTCTCTTCTTCCTTCTGATTCCTCTTCTTCTGACCTTCATCTTCTGTGAGAAGCAGACGTGGGATTCTACCGGTTCGGCCCAGTTCAACTGAACCGGTAGCTTCGAAGATCAGCCGAGAGGGAACTACTTCGCTCGGACGATCTGTTCTTGTTTGGCCTGCCCACCTGCCCGCCCAGGCTCTAGGCTGTCCTTTATTTCCTGCTTTTTCAACTTCAGCTGCTTTGTGCAGCACAGCTGATTGCTGTGTGCGCCCTTGTGTGACACATGGGGCTTGCAGGAGAAGATGATTTTCAAATGCTGCACACACGCATGTGCATTTGGCACGCACCTGTGCCAAGCGCGTGCTCACCAAACCGGTTATTACACCAGTTGAAGCCCACCCCTGGCGAGGAGGTGTCATGGAGGAAATTTAGCTGGGTTTGCTGAGAATCCCCCATAAATAGGATTTGGAAAACAGTTGGGGCAGGGATGTCAAACTCAAGGACAGATCTGGCCCACACGGCCACCCTGGAAACAGTGAAGGACTGGCCCACGGAGCTCTGTTTTCGGTAGCAGAGGGCTGCAGGAAGCTGTTGCGGCCGAAAACGGAGCTCAGGAACCCGTTTTCTTTGGCAGAATGCCCAGGCTGGCACAGGCACCCCCGACACAAGTGATGTCAAGCTGGCCATGCCCAACCTGGCCACCCCTCTGGGCCCCCTGGATGTCAAACACAACCCTGATGTGGCCCTTAAGGAAATCAAGTTTGACACCCCTGAGTTGGGGGAATAAGATGATTTATTTTTCTATTTATTTATTTATTTATTTATTTATTTATTTATTCATTCATTCATTCATTCATTCATTCATTCATTCATTCATTCATTTATCAAGCATGTATTAGATAACGGATACAAGTATAAACATGATTATTAATACATGAAATGTATTAAAAGGGAGCATTAGGACAGGGACGGTAGGCAGGTTGGTGCACTTATGCACGCCCCCTTACAGACCTCTTAGGAATGGGGTGAGGTCAACAGTAGACAGTCTGAGGTTAAAGTTTTTGGGGTTTGGGGAAGAAACCACAGAGTCAGGTAGGGCGTTCCAGGCATTGACCAGTCTGTTGCTGAAGTCGTATTTCCTGCAATCAAGTTTGGTGAGGTTAACCTTGAGTTTGTATCTATTGTTTGCTCTTGTATTGTTATAGTTGAAGCCGAAGTGTTCATTGACAGGTAGGACATTGCAATGGATCATTTTGTGTAGAAACATGGCTAGGGAGGGTCCTTGAGTTCTGCGGAGGAACTTCTTCCGTTCCCAAGTTCCACTGAGATCTCAACATCCACTCGATGGCCCAGGAGAAATAAAAATCCACCGGAATGACAGAGTAGCCTCCTTAAATCTTAAACAGTCTGGAAATGCAAAGAACCAAAGGAATGCTTTTCCCATCCCAGGGAGAAAATGTTGGCTGTATATAAGTTGGACAAATAAATAAATGAACTGATGAAAAGGCCCTCCCTCCTTTCAGATTCTAATCAGAAAATTGTGTGATTACCGTTGGGATTCAGAGTTCTGTTGCAAGACAGCCAGATCATCCCCCTTGGAAACAATGTCTCTCAATTCTTCTGCTTCCTTCTGAATCTACTTTTTTAACCCTTCCTTATGAATCTTCTTAATTACCCTTTTGCTAGTAATTAACCTATGCTTAGCATCTTAAAATATCAGAAGGGAAGGGCCAATATTGATATTATTTTTTTTGCATCAAACCTTCTAGCTCCCTTCCTGACGCAAGGACTTATTTGTTGTTTAATTTGCTTGCTTATCTGCTTGCTTGCTTGCTTCCTGGTTGGATTGCAGTTTAGGGGAACTAGATCGGAGCTACAAAACCAATTAGAACTTCTAAAACCAAGGTAGAACTTCTTCATATCTTTGCCAGCTTCTAGGCTACCATGCCACGGTTTATTCTCTGGAGGTTCAATAATGGAGAATATTTGTAGCTCGGAGTGAAATGAGGGGTCCTTGGTGCTCTGTGAGCACGGATGTTTTCTTGCAGACGTTTCATTACCCAATCTAGATAACATCATCAGTTCTTGGTGCTCTCTGAGCTTGATCGTCTTTGCAGACATTTCATTACCCAACCTAGGTGGCATCATCAGTTCTGATAATGTTACCTAGTTGGGTAATAAAGCATCTGCAAGAAAATAACCAAGCTCAGAGAGCACCAAGGACCCCTCATCTTTGGGCTCTATTCTCTGGGACCTTAGCTGTCCCTAATAGGAAGAATTTATATTCATCGCAATGAATTCACTTCCAACAAATTAGAAACAAGTGTTTTTTAAATATCCACAAGTATCTGGCAGACTGTTTTTCTGTTTAAACAACTGTTTGTAGAACATCTCTGTGGGGGTCTTTCTTAATTGCCTTTGCTCTTGAAATGCAGTCCTTTTTATATCAAAAGTTGTACTTCCCTTCCTTATCTTCTGGGTTCATTCAAAGCAGTCTGCGCTAAAGGCATTTACCAAAACAGAAAGAGGAAAAAAGTTATATAATAATTGTAAGACAGAGGAGCCTGTATCCCGAAACCTATTCAGAACTAATGGAGGAAACAGGAATGACTGAATCCAACCATTACTCCAGATATTTTGAACAAGAAATGAGCGTTAAAGAATTATGAGGCTCAACACTAGCAGCCATTGCTCAAGAAACCTATTTGCCCCCAAATGCAATGTGAAATGCGTATATTTATGGCCTTTTAACGATTCATTTCATGTTTAATATACTTATGACTCAGCTGGATCTCCAGCTGTGCAGAATTCCATGAATTTGGCATCTGAAATCAACCTTCTGAGAAAAAAAAGCTTGTTATGGGGAAAATATATATTACGCGGGAGAAAACCCAAATAACCAAAGATAGATAGATAGATAGATAGATAGATAGATAGATAGATAGATAGATAGATAGATAGACAGACAGACAGACAGACAGACAGACAGACACACACACACACACACACACACACACATATATATATATAATAGATAAGTAAGAGAGATAGAGATAGATAAAGAGAGATGATAGGATGGATGGATGGATGGATGGATGGATGATAGGATAGGATTGATAAATAGATAGATATAGATAAATAATAATAGATGATAAATTAATTAGATAGGGATAGACAGAGATGATAGAATAGACAGAGGGAAAGAGATAAGGTGATAGATAGATAGACAGATAGACAGACAGACAGACAGACAGACATAGATAAAGAGATAGAGATTATAGAGAGAGATAGGGTAATAGAGAGAGAGATAGGATGATGGAGATTATATATATCTCTATCTCCCCTGTGCATCATGCCCTGCCACATACATTGGATAGACCAATAGAAGAATAAGTAGCCACCTAGATGAACACAAAAATGCAGTAAAAAAACTGGAACACACTTCCTCACTAGTCCAACACATGAAAGCCACAGGTCATAGCATCGACTTCAATGGCACCAAAATCCTAGCCACTATAGAAAACCCCAGCCACAGAATTATCAGAGAAGTCATAGAGATTGAAAAAAGACCTGAAAGCATGAATAGAAGAGAGGATTCCACCAGACTGTCAATTATTTGGAAGCCTGCACTCACAAACAAAAAATCTCCACACCACAAGCCAGGCAAACACCTGGGCACAAACAGATCCCCCCTGATACCTCCAGCTCAAACACACCCCAACCAGGCACCCAGATGAAACCTAGCTTCCTAATAAATGATAGCTGTCCGTTTACTCACAGCCAAGCCGCACTAAAAGCCTCCAATACAGGAAACAAAATGTTGCCAGCCAATCAAGACAAAAAAAAAGAAGCTACAAAACAGACAGAAGGTATTAGAAACACCAATCAAGCAGAACACAGCAAACTCCAAGACCAATAAACACAGACCAAGACTCCCAACCAATCAGGAGGAAGAAAAAACCATTCGGGCACAGCAGTAGGCTAGCACTAAATTTGAAACAGAAACAGCTGTGAAAGTCTGACTCACAGACGAACACAATACAGAAGCCTGATGATGGCAGATGAGATTCTGCCGAAACGTTGCTACAACTTTAAAAGCACAACTATAATGATGTGGGAAAATACCCGAACAAAGCTGAATGCCATATATGTAAGTACCCGTGAAAACTTAAGAAAAGATAGATAGATAGATAGATAGATAGATAGATAGATAGATAGATAGA